CCCCAAAACCCCAAAACCCCAAAACCCCAAAACCCCATGGAGTTTTATTTGTGCTTTATAAATGCTACTTATATTATAATTAACTAGAAGCAATTATTTGTTTTATTTCATCAATAATAAATCGCTACTGTCTAGATTAATAATATTTAAATTAACTCTACCAACTCCTATCAAGAAAATGGATGAAAAAGTGTTTACTTTCAGAGAGAAGTTAGTTATTTGCTTCTATGAGTTTTTGGGGACTGGCATGCTTGTGCTCGGATATAACTTCACCCAAGCAGGTTTGGCTGTAGGGTTCAACTTGTTCGTGGGAATCCTGATGTCAGCCAAGGTTTCTGGAGGAATGTTTAATCCCGCTGTTACTATTGGAGTCTACACTGCCGATAAAACTTTCTTGAAAAACATCGTCTTAATCGTAATGATCATTGTTTCTCAAGTGCTAGGAGCTTACTTTGGTATTATTTATGCACATTTCTGTTTGGGACAACCAGCATTTTTATGTCCATACGACCAGGCAACTGGATGTTTGACTTACGACTCATTTGGTAAAGTGTTCTTACTTGAGTTCTGGTGCACCTTCTTCTTCGTTATGGTTATTTTATGCTGTATTCATCAAAACACACAAGAAAGCAAGGATGGTATCTTATAGGCAGCCTCAATCTCATTCACATTACTCGCTATGATCAACACTGCTGGTGCCATCAGTGGAGGATGCTTCAATCCTGCCTTTGGATTTTCCCAAACAACTTATCAGGTTATGTATATGAAGAGTCAAGGTGTAGAGGAGGCAGGTAGATATGCTAGATATCTATGGGTCTATATACTTGCCCCCACTCTAGGAGGACTTGCCAGCTCTCTATTTATGAGATACATTCATATTCCAAACCTCCACAAATGAGGAAGACTCACAGACTTACAAGTCCTTTATATAGATTCATTTCTTTTTACCTTTAGAATAAACGCTTTAACATAATTTAACTATCAATTCTCAATTCTAAGATAATATTCTAGATGGGGTTTTGGGGTTTTGGGGG